ATATTCCAATCTTGTTGTGCAATTTGGAAAAGATCTTCCCACCATCATTTTTTGATGTTATGGAACATCTTCCTATTCATCTCCCTCACGAAGCAGAGCTCGGTGGACCAGTTCAGTACAGGTGGATGTATGCGTTCGAGCATTTCATGAAGCATCTTAAGGGTAAAGCCAAAAACCTAGCTAAAGTGGAAGGTTCAATTGTGGCAAGTTTTTTTCTTATTAGGTGGACCCGAATGATCCAGATGAATTTCCAACATGGTTCCATGAGTTACTATTAGGTCCGATGGCAAAAATAACAACAGCCTCCATGTATTTCACTCAGGGCTATATTTTTCACACATACCATCACGGTGCAAAGCGGGCGACAACTAACTATAGAGTTTGTGTGAGGGGTGAAATAGATTTTTATGGAGTTCTGCAGGAAATAATTGAAGTGGAGTATCATGGATTGTTAAGGCTGAAAACTGTTCTCTTAAAATGTGATTGGTTTGATCCAACTGTTGGAAGAGGGGTACGTCTAAACAAGTATGGAGTTGTTGATGTGAACAAATCACGATGATACAACAGGTTTGAGCCATTTATATTAGCTTCTCAAGCAGAACAGGTAACATTTCTGTCATACCCCCGAGTTCGATCAACAGGAATCTCATGGTTAGCAGTAGTTAAAGTGGCTCCGAGGAGCAAGATTGTAGGGGTTGAGGATGTTCCACTGCAACAAGACACTTGCGTAGATCTGACTGAATCAGATGTTGATGAGGAGATTTTCTTAATTGACCCCCAGAACAGGCAAGTTGAAGATCTTCCCGATGATACAGAAGAAGAAGGTGATGATGAGTTTGCTGAAACCGATGATGACGATTTGGCGGAAGACGACGGTGATGGTGACGAAGTAATAGAGGAAGATGAATCTGATTGATTTTCATGTTTTTAGTGAATGTTTGTTACTATGTAATTTGTAACGGTGTTTGTTTGAATTTTTTTAATGATGAAAATATCGATTTTACGACAGTTTTACGGCGATTTATGTAAAATCTAAACCCCAAGTTTAGGTTTTATACCCTGAATGAATAGGGTTTAAGTATTACGACGACTTACGACCATCCATCGTAAAATAGTCGTACGTTTACGATGATTTTACGACGCGTTCACAAAGCCGTTGTAAAATCATCGTAAGCTTGAAATCCAAGATTTTGAATATTTTATATCTGATTGGTTTTTAGGTATTTCACAAATGTTTTTAATAGGTTATCTTATTTTATATGAAAAGTATTCAATCTGATCAAAATCAGAAATTTGAAAAAAACATACATATTTTACAAGTTCATCCATGTTTTTGTAAATGTTAAGTAAAAGGTTGATTTCAATATTTATTATCTCATGTACTAAATCCGTCATACATGCAAAGTTATGAACCTATTGTTATATGTTAGTATAATAAGCTTTGGGAAGTTTTTTATGCAATCAGCCTTTTAAAATATTTAGGGTTTGATAACTTTTTTAAAAAAACATCGTAAAACCATCGTATAAGGGTCGTAACATTACGACGGTTTTACGACGATTGTTCATTAAACCGTCTTTAAACCGTCGTAACGTTGATGACAATCAGCCCCCGGATTGGCTCCAGATCAGAGGTACGAGGTTATAAATGTTGGCGTGGTACGACGGTTTTACGACGATTTAATGAACATTCGTCGTAAAACCGTCGTAATGCTCAAACGCTGTGAACAGGACACATATCCTGTCATGCACTGGTACGATGGTTATACAACCAAATCGTCGTAAAATGGTCGTAACGTTACAACGGTGTTACGATGATCACAAAATCTATATAAGGGACGCGAGTTTTCTTCCTTCGTATCTCATTCCTCACTTTTCTCTCTCTCGACAAAAAAAACTCTCTCTCTCTAGCTCTCCCTCCTCTCCCTCCTCTCCAGCTACTTTGTAAGTTTTTTGTTAATTTTTTTTTCATTCTAATTTATATTTCGTTTAAATTTTAATCCTTAGATAGATGTAATCAGGGGATTTAGTTAGATTCGAAATTTAGATAGGCCCGAAATTTATAAATAAATTATATAATTAGTAATTATAATTTATTTTATTTTGTAGATTATTCAGATGGCTCATCGGACAAAGAGGTTCCACTACCGAGAGATGGTAGATCCGGACGGTACGCTCCGTCCGGCTCAGCTACAGGGTCCATCAACCCGGAGTCCTCGGGAATACAAGGAACGGTTTCGAAACCGGTTGTTGTACCACAGCCTGCACCGCCTCCACCACCACCAGCCGAACCAGCAGCCCCAGCACCAGCCGCAGCCCCGATACAGCCTGAACCGTATGACCAATTTACGGTTCAGTATCTTCTACGCCAACCGGGTCGTGAGAGTATGAACAAACTCGAATCGGATCGAGCCCCGGAGACATTTTGGTACGATTTTTTTTTTGTAAAATTTTTTTTAAAAGAGTAATATTTATAATTAATTGAAATATCTAACTAATTTTTTTTATACTGACTAGGTTTACGACCGACAACGCGGTCGGTCGTAATGTTGCCGACATCATCAATGGGTTTTTCGTACAACTCCATACCAGCTGGAAGAAGCTCTTGACACTTTGTTCAAGTGTTTTGCGGTAAACACTTCTTTAAAATTACGATTTATATTATTATTTTTTATTTTTTACAATAATTACTAACTTTTTGTTTTTTTTTCTAGCAAAACTGGTATTGGGAAATTTCCGCACACGGACGTGTGGAGGCGGCCTTTAAAGAGAAGGTCAAGTTCCGCTTCAACAACACCGTTTCCGACTGGAAGCGGAAGTGGGAGATCGACGACAACAAGGCCAAGCCGGCGCCAATGGCCGATACCGTCTGGCAGGGTTTGGTGCAATATTGGTTGGACCCGCACAACCAGACTACTGCCGCGAAGTGTTCCACATCCAGGTATTTTTGTATTTAGATTAAATTAAAATATGTGTTTAAATTATAATATTATATAGGTTTAATTATTTAAAAATCCAATTACTATATTTCTCAGGAACGCTACTGATGATGCGGGAAATCGAAAAAACGTCTCGCACACTTCCGGTCAGATTCCTTTCGCCGGGAGGTGATTTATGATGGTAAATTTTAATTAATGAGTTTTTTTTAAGAAAGTAATTAACTCTTATTTGTCTTATTAATAATTTCATTTTCATTTTGTAGGTTGAAGAAAACGGGGGAGAACTTTCTCCGATGACGAAGGTCTTCGCCGAGACCCATAAGAAGAGGAACGGTGAATTCACGGATCCTCGGGCGGAGGATATCTACAACGCCGCCTGTGCGTGGATCGAGGAGCGGCAGACGCAGCTCACTCAGCAGGCGCCTCCGACGTCTCCGGGAGGTAGCTCGGTCCAATCCACTCCGACGCTGACGGTGACGGAGATGGACCAGATCTTCGAAGAGGTAAGTGTATTCTTTTTCCTATTTAGTGTAATTTTAACTTTATATTGTACTTTTTTACATAAATTTTCTACATATTTTCAGGTTGCCCCTAAGAATAAGGGCCGGGTTTTAGTGATGGGATTCATCCGTGATACCCTAGTCGCTACGGCGACAGGTCATGTCCGGGCAGCGGATCTGCTTATCCGCCAGGAGATCCATCAGATGCGGACCTAGTATGAGACAAAGATCGACCAGTTGTATGATCTCTTCGAGATTATGAGGGCCGACAACCCGGTGCTCATGGCGCAGTTGGACAGGTTGCGGGCAGCTGGAGTTGTCGGGTCATCTGCTTCATCTTCTAGGAGGCAACCACCGGTGCAGACGGACAAGGAGATGTTCCGGGGATCAGGCACCGGAAGCCTCCAACCGAAGACCCGCAGATCAGACGCCGGAAGCCTCCAACCGAAGACCCGGCAAAAAACATGTGGAGCAGGACGATGAGGGGATTGACATTAGTTTAGAATTAGATCTTTAGGTTTTTTGTAATTATTATAATTTTTTTTTATTTTGAATTTTAATTAAAATTAAAATTATAAATTATTTCTTTTTTAATTTAAATTTTAATTCGGATTAATTTTTTTTTAATTTCATTTATTAAAAAATGTCGTATCATCGTCGTAATATATTTATTATTAATTTATCAAATCGTCGTATATTCGTCGTAACTCTTACGACCAAATTACGACCAATTATTCGTCGTATATTACACGACGTCTAATACGACGAATATACGTCCGAGTTTTACGACGGTTTTACGACGAATAGAAAACAAATTTTTACGATTGAATTACGACAAAACTTGCATCGTATATTATACGACGATCCTACGTCGGTTTTTAACGACGATTTTACGATGGTTACGCTGTAAACCAAATCAAGGCAAATCGATGTAAAGTTGTCGTAAGCCCTGCGTTTACGATGATCCTTTTACGTCGATGTTACGACGAATATGAATCGTCGTAGATTATACGATGATTTTACGACGAATTATCTTTTACAGCGATGCGTTCACGACGATTTGGAAACCGTCGCTAATTCGTCGTAATAGGGCTATTACAACGAACTTACGACGATTTTGGCCGTTGTAAAACGGTGTTTTTCTTGTAGTGATATACTTTCGGGTATGTTCGGATAATAACCATAATAGAACTGAACTGTACCAATTTTTTTTTTAGTTATTATATACTTGAATCCCAATCAAATGTAAGCGCTAGTGCTACTATTAACATGTTGCTCTCAGACAAAAGAATGAACCTAACTGAAATTCAAAAAATCCACACAAGTGGACTCTTTCTCATTATCTACTGCCTCAAGACCACAATAAAAATTTTCCATTACATATTTGATTTACTAAAGTGTTTTGACTAACAAAAACAAAGCATAAATTAATTTAAGCATTATCATGAGTTGTCTTGATATTAGTTTTCTTATATAACACACAAAATACTGTAAATAAGACATTAAAAATAAAATAAGTACTTGGTCGCTTGGTACAAAGATTTCACCAGTGAATACAAAGATTTCACCAGTCCTGGTACCCAGTTTCACTCGGCCGAGGTAAATTAATGTATTTGCAACGAGCACACCCAATAAAGTTAGTAAAGCCATAGAATTCTTCTCTTTTTGTACCCATCGTCACCTCTAGCTTCCTTCCTTCAAAGAAACATCCGTTCAATGCCAACGCCTTGTCATTGTCTTTGCCATTTTTAAAGTTAATAAAAGCAAATCCCAATGGACAACGAGTTTCACACTCTATGGGAACATAAACCCTGGTGATCTCTCCACATGAACCGAATATGTTGCTCAACAGTCTCTTGAGTTCTTCCCTAGTGCGCAGATATTCAAACCCCTTGATGAAAATGGTGTCATCATTGTTTCCCAACGCGTCTTTGGTATCAAAACAGCAAACCGCATTTTTCTCTGGGGATTCTTTCTCCTATATAGAGACAAAAGGAGGATTTATTTATTTAGAATTAAACCAGCTAGCCTTACAGTTTTTAATGTATCAAAAAAGTTATCAACCTAACAAAACAAAAATAACAAGCTACAAACAAACACAGCCCTAGTACTAAACACTGATCAAAATGTAATTTTTTTAAAAAAATGAAAATAAGAAACATACCTCCTGTGGATCGGATTTGGTGAGTAGAATTTCCTGTATTTTTTTAATATAGCTTCAGTCAGTTCTGATATAGATGTCAAAATGTAATGTATCAAAATTTCTCAATCTAAGAAAACAAATATAACATTTACTAACAAACAAACAAAGTCCTACCCGACACTAACAATATATAGCTTATAAAGTATTAATATGAAACATATATTATATCATAAATAAAACGTACCTCATACAGATTGGCTTTGGAGAGTAGAATTTCCTGCCGTTTTTTGAAGTCGTCAGTTAGTTCTCTGATAGAATTCGACATTTCTTTGATATCCTGCCAGTGGAATTAAGTAATGATTAAGAAAACCAGTAAAAACATTACTAGCGAGGAATCTAAAACTGCATTAATGTCGACAAGAACAAAAAATCTTAGATACTTGCATTTTGCAGGTCAAAATTTTTCATCTTCATTATTTTCCTACAAAATAACAAGGTTGTAGATAAACATGATAACAAACGTCTAAACGGGAAGTGTGATGAAAAAGTATTAAGTGCTCACGAGAAAAAGGTACATAGGGTACATAAGTCAATGAAAAATAAACATCTTTATAATTTTATACTAATAAAAGTTGAAGCTAAATACTTCTAAATATGTTCACATAGAATTAAAAAGAGCAATTATATTAGTCTACATCAACAATAAAAAATAAGGAAAGTTTACAAATTTTTAATATTATTACTAAATAAATAAATTAAGAAAATTTACAAATTCTAATTATTGCTGGATAAAAAATTCTATATAAATTTTTTATTGGTCCACTTCAACATTAAAAATTTTTTTTTTTTTACAAATTCCATTATTATTTTTAAAAATTATTAAAGATAAAGAAATTATATATAAATTTTTTGTTAATAATAAAAAACTAAAATAAATAATATTAAAATAAAAAATTTTAAATTTAAATTAGATGTATACACATATATTCAGAGATTCTTACATTAGTATCCAAATTTTTGTCACATAACTATAATAATTTTTAAGTTTTTTTTCTGTGTGTACAACCATTTCAAATTAAAAACAAAAAACAAAAAAAATAGAGTTAGGATTCACAAAAAAAATGAGTCATTACAACGTAAAATAACCAACTTGGCTAAACTATAAGTTTAACTATTAGCTAAATTACAAAAAATATAATGAAACGAGATATAAACAAAGCCATTACAAGCTGCTTTAATATCAAAAAAGAGACCGAAAAATAAGTTTGGCCACCGAATTTGAGAAGAATGATAAATTTCAAGCAATCCGAGAAACATGTCAAGTGATTGATACTCGACACTTTTAAAAAACAAAGCACTGAAAATAAAGAAAGAGATTCCGTCATTAAGACGAAGGAGATTAAGGTATTTGAGGAAGATTTTTGAAATAACATGGCATCTGATACGGTTTTAACAACCTAACATTAAGCACAAAGGTTCATTTTGAGTAGACTTCATTGTGAAGTCTACTCAAAAAAAATCAATTGCAAAAATGATCTATTTTGTTCCGTAGACTTCTATTAAAAAAGTAGAATTCAAAAGTAGACTGTCAGAGAAGTCTACTCTTACATGAAGTCTACAATAGAAGTCTACTTTGTTAGTCAATGCATCGGTCAAATGCTAAAATAACTTTTTTTTTACGGAAGTCTACTTCTGAAGTCTACTGAAGGAAAAGTCAACAGATTGGTCAATTGCAAAAATGACCGGTTTTTAGTAGACTTCTCTATGAAAAAGTAGACTTCTCCTCCGGTCTACATTTGAAGTCTGCTATAGAAGTCTACTTTTTGACATTTTTTTTAAAACGCGTTTTAGGCAAATTTATAAAGTATTTTTCAATTTTTTGGATTACAATTGCTTCTTAGTAAGTGATTGAACTACCCGGTGAATTTCATTTCATTTCATTCGATATTTATTGTTGAATCAGAAGTTTTGATTTTTAAGCTACTTAGCTTATCAAAGTAGACTTCGTAATCTACTAATGTTCTTTTCGGGAGAAGTCTACTCTTGATACAAAAAGTCTGTATGCAGTGTTTGCTAATATGGTTTATATGGTTATTTTTTCAGAGAATGGCTCAAATTCCAGTTGTGTACGGGGAGTGGAAGATTGAGGAGAATTCATGGCATTTTGTTATTGACATGGGCAAAGGTGGAAGAATGTGGTTTTTGAACGATGGTTGCACCTTGGGGGAGCTTACTGAGATGGCGCGAGATGATTATAACTTGGGCAAGAAGACTGAGCTGATCGAGTTAACCTACTCACTACCAGTCTCAATGTTGCAAACTATGGCTCCAGATACACCTCCAATGCATGTCACCAATGATAGACAAGTTTCAAGCTTGATTGCGTTAAGCAGAGTGCATATGGTACGTCTTTGTGTGTCCACTCGAGTGGAGATGGATACTTAACCTCTTCCTCAGTGTGCTTCGCTGACCCTGTAGTCAACTCCTCTACCGCGTGCTCTACAGATTAAACCTTGTCGGTGAGAAGTTTGATCTGCTTTTCACGGCTACCAAGACCATTCAGCATCTTGTTTGAAAAGCTTTTGAAGCATTGGTCGAAGTGCGCTTTCATAGTAGCGACAACTCCGACCCCTTCATCACCAACGAAAGAGGCGGCAGAGGCAGAGTCTGTGCAGGGTCTCTTGCGACTTGATTCATCTGAGGGAAGGCTCCTCTTTCCTGCTTCTGCCTTGACGATGTGTGCACCCAAAACACCTTCCAAAAGCCAGTGGTTTTTTGAGAACTTGAAATTGGGGTCATGGATTGCATTGACAATCTTGACAATATCCGGATCCTATTCCTCATCATCCCAAACTGGAAACATATCCGCCAAGTCCTTAGCCACGTGATGGTGTGTGAGAGGGTTGTCAAGTTTTACCCTAATTGAAATCAATAGCTGCAAGTGCACAACTGATCGATTGTAGTACTTAGGGATCGAATCCACAGGGAAGGAGGATCTTTTCCTGCAAAAAGCCTTTGAAATAAGTATTAAGTAAGGAAGTCTAGAACCAAAACGGTTTTGTGGGGGTTTGGTAGTGTGTTTAAAATGTAAAAACGAAATATTAAAAGAAAATACGGGAATTAAATGACCTAATAACTAAACTTAACGAAAATAACTAAAAATGCGAAAAAACGGATATTCTAATTGCTTAAATGAAAATCTACTAAAAAGGAAAGACAATATTGAACTAAAGCTTGAAAGAAAATCGGTGTAAATCAATGGGAATGAAGGCGTTGGAGTTCAGGGAAGTTTTCTCAGGGGTACGAACGATTCAAAATATTGCTAGAGAGTAAAATTGATAAGATCTTAGCTTAAACTTTTCGAACTGGAGTCACGGACGTATGAATATGCCACTGTCGTGATCATAGACAACTATCTCTCTCAACCCTGACCAGTAGGTTTCCACTCTGACCCTAGAAGAGAAGAGATGCATTATGTTTAAGACTCGTCCTAATTCAAAAATCGCCCATAGGTAGGTTTCCACTCCTATGTTTGTTTTGCTCTCCCAAACTAGATCTGATACCTGATGAACACTTTCGTGTCACCAAGCATCTGGATCAGATTGTAGTTCATGACGCTACTCTCATGCAGTAAAAACGAATTCAGAAGAAAAAGTTCTAAGATTCGGCTCAAAAGCTCATGGAATCCTCATCGAACATATAAATCCCCATCGAAAATCCCTTAATCCCAACAATAAAACTACTCAGACATAATGAACGAAATCATAAACATAGTATTAATAAGTAGAATAGAAATCGAAATTGAAAAAGAAAGAACAAGGGTTCAAGAGAACAAATCTCTCTCTCCCTAAAAGCTAAAGCAAAAACAATAAAAGTATGAAGTAATGATAGATGATATGAGTTTGTATATCGTTTAGGGTTCCTAAGACATGTATTTATAATGCTCAAGACCTCTCTGGACGTCACTTAGGGTTTCTCCAAATGTGGGCTTCAGAAATGGGCTTTTTGGGCTCGGAGGTTGATGGCCGCGGTCGGGAGGGTTCTGACCGTGGGGAATGAGTGGTTTGCCGCGGTCGGGATGCTCCTGACCGTGGAGAATGAGTGTTTGGCCGCGGGTGGAAGTGCTTGCCGGCTGGTTTACGGGACATCTTGCTCTTCGCGTATCTTTTGATTGAACCGTTGGATTGCCAAGCTGTAAAGTGCACTGGAAAGCTGATACTTCCATCTTTAAGGTCTCTAAATTTGAGCTGGATCAGACGGTGAGAAGGACTTCAATCAGGGGTGAACTTCTGACGGTTTGATTCTGAGCTGAAATCTGGTTTTCTATCCATTTTGTTAAGTTTTTCCCTAAGTTACCTGAAAAGAGTCTTAGAACTACAAATACTAGAAAAACGTAATAAAAGTACTTAAAAGTAATTAAAAACATAGAAAAAGTATTTCAAAACGATCCATAAAAGTGGTCAAAATACGGTGTTATCACCACGCAGCACTGTATGCGAGCCTGGAAAAACACAATAAGTAAATGAATTACTAGCTATATGAAGCCTGGAAAAACTACGTATGAAGTCTACCATTGAAGTCTACTATTGAAGTCTACAACTGAAGTCTCCCACTATCAAGATTTTATATAGAAGTCTACACATGAAGTCTACTTCTGAAGTCTACTTTGAAAATTCATTACTACATAGAAGTCTACTACGGAACAAGACTTCTAAATGAGAATGACTAGACCTATACCGTACCTGTTTTAGCATGTTGGCTTTGACGTTCTTTCGTCCTCTTGATCCTTTGTAAGCCAGCATAAGAGGTGTAGGATCATTTGACAATGGTTCGCCAAATTCAGCAGCAAAATCCGGCAGAGCATAGTACACCCACACTTGAAGAGCTTGCACAAATCATTCTATATGAATGTTTTTGCTGAGATATTTCTCCCTAACAGACTTGATCAGATGCTGAAAAGCAATTCTTCCCCATGGGAACTCCTTAAAACCTTCGAGATCCATCACTAGTCTGGCATGGTTGACATTTGTGGATAAGCCTGGTCTCGTTGCCACTATGAAACCAGCGTAGATCCCAAGATATCCCAACCACATCCTATCATCCCGAGACCATGATGAGCAGTTGGAACAGGCTTCAATAATTTCATTAGTGCTTGGGCCCGACAACGACATTGACCCCCATTAGCTCCCAAAATGCATGCATGTCATTGGACAACTCAAGATCAGTTACAGCCAAGTCATCCACGTACCCGCAGTTGAGTCCGGTGATCTCCTCAAACTCATGCAATGAAAACCGAATTGGAGTGGTACCAATCAGGCTCCATATCTCGTACCTCTGCTCGCAAACTATCTGAAAGGTCAGCTTGTGGTGCACCAGCCTAGAAGCCCAACCAAAATCCAAGTTGTGGAACTTTAAAAAAACTAGGAGAGAACCCGCGTGTATACGC